TGCTTTCTTATAGCTCCTGGCTCCAGGAGCCTAGGGGTGGAAACGCCCCTAGTGAGCTGGGCCTCCAACAACAATCATCAATTAAGAAAAAACTCTACAGGCTCACCCACAGGCCAACCTGGTATATGGGGGTGGGGGGTTGGGGGGTGCACGTTAAGTTGACATAAAACTAGCCAGCACAAACCACCCCTTGCCAGCTTGACACAAACACATCACTATTACACCAATAACCATTCGTTTCTTGTTCTTCCCCAAGACTTCACATTAATAATCGGATTACAATATAAAACATTCCAACTTGTAAAAGTCTCATAGTCTTTAGGAATTCAAACACTTTAAAGGGTTAGTCACTTTTTAATATCCAAAGTCTCTAAAATATCCATAGTTTCTCTAAAATATCCAAATTCTCTCTGAAACTCCAAAGCCTCTCCAAAACTTTGAAATCTTTTAACAATTAAGTCTCTTCTATTAAAAAAAAAAAGTTAAATACTTTCTTCCTCCAAGAGGGAAGAACAAGGGCATAGTCACAACCAAATTAAAGTGAAATCAAAGTCCAAGTAAAAAGTAAAAAGTTCAGTGCTGGCCATTTAAGCTCAGGCTTGCTTCTGTTCCACACTCTGCCACACACAGATCTGTCTCCTTGCTTGCTCAGGCTTGCTCCACCCCACAGCCTCTCCTGTCCTTGGTAGTTGTACTAGCATCTAAGCACAGGCTTGTTGCTGTACCTGGGCTGCACCTTCACCAGTAGACCTTTTCTGGGTTCTCTTGCAAATTTGCCAGGTGGTGCCAGGCTCCATTTCTTTGTATGACCCCTTGATCCTGGGGCTTCAGCTGTAACTGAGGCCACACCTTCACTGATGGCAGCACCTGGCCTTTGGAGGGACTCTAGCCCTGCCACACCGTGCCAAGCTACAGCTGCTCTTGAGGGTCCTCATACCTTTAACCAGCATCACCTGGGTGACTTGTGTACCACCCGGTTTGGCTGCCAGTGTGTGATGCAGCCTTGGTCCCAGCAGGACCACAGGTTCTGTGTGCTGATGCCAAGGAAACATTTACAGACATAGGGTCCTCTGATGCTGGTTTCTTCTTAATCACGGCACCAATCGTCCCAGTAAAACAAAGGTTTCTCCTTGGTGGTTCAGGCCTCTTGTTAATCACATCTGACTCTTCATCCCCAGCGGAGCAGAACCACAGGCTCTTCATTCAGTACAACAACATACAGTGCCCCAGGAGTCTTTAAGGGACGCTCACACTTGCTCTGCAACTTCACAGGCCAGGCCTCCATCATCTGTGTCATTCTCAATCAAGCCTCCCTCTTCCAAAATGACTCTGTGTCAGTTGGACATAAACTTAGCTAGCACATACCCAGATCTTGGACTTGCACTTCCAAAAGTTTGAAAAGTAAATGTTTTTAAGCCATCCGGTCTATAGTGACTTATTCTAGCAGCAAGAGCCAGCTAACACAGTAAGGTACATTGAAGGAGCACTTAGAAAGTTTGGATCACTCTCTTAGTTCCAAAGGATAATTTTAATAAGCATTTCCAAAGGTATTTATATTCTAGACGCCTGGCTTAGTTTTTTTTTCCCCACTTTTATTGGGGGCCTGCCACCCAGCTCCCAAATAAATACACAGACACTTATTCTTAATTATGTATGCCTGGCCTTAGCCTGGCTTGTTTCTAGCCAGCTTTGCTAACTTAAATTATCCTATTTCTCTTCTTCTATGTTTGACCACAGCAACTCTTATAAAGGAAAACACTTATCTGGGCCGGCTTACAGTCCGAGGTTTAGTTCATTATCATCATGGTGGGATTTGGCAGTGTGCAGGCAGACATGGTGCTGGAGAGGGAACTGAGAATTCTACATGTTAATCTGCAGGCAACAGGAAGTGAACTGCTAACTACACTGGGTGTAGCTTGAGCATGTAAGAACTCAAAGCCCACCCCCCAGTGACACACTTCCAACAAGGCCATTCGTATTCCAACAAAGCCACACCTCCTAATAGTGCCACTGCCTATGGGCCAAGCATTCAAGCACATAAGTCTTTGGGAGCCATACCTATTCAAGTCACCACAAAGTCATACCTGTCAACTGCTTAAAACCCAGGTTATTCCTGACATGATGACTTCTTTTTTTTTTTTTTTTTTTTGATTTTTCTGAGACAGGGTTTCTCTGTGTAGCTTTGGAGCCTATCCTGGCACTCGCTCTGGAGACCAGGCTGGCCTCGAACTCACAGTTCACCTGCCTCTGCCTCCCGAGTGCTAGGATTAAAGGCGTGCACCACCAACACCTAGCCATGATGACTTCTTAGTCAAGAAGAGTAGCTGGCTGTAGCAGAGAGGCTATGATTAGCAGGTACTGAATCTCATATGATAGTATATTGTATAAAACAAATGGCTGCTAAGGCATTAGTTTATCTATTTTATATACTTGAATAGTTTTTACTTTCTCTTTCCTTTTGGTTCACTCATTCACTTGGTGCTATGTTACTAGCTTTATTAATTTTAATATTTTAAAAATGTAACCTGGCTACCTAAATTAGCCCCAAAGCAGATTCTTTCACAAACGCCCTTCCCTTCTCTCCTTCCTTCTCTCCCTTCCTGCTTCCTTGAATGTGCTAGGATTGTTTTGTTTATTTAAACAGATTTTACTGGATGTGTTTAAGGTATAGATAGATCATAGTGTTGTAAAATATTCATGTACACATACGTACACACGTGCACACACTTTCACACATATCTATAAACTTTCTCCCGTTAACAAATAAGCATATATACTGTTTTCATGTACTTATCCACTTCCTCCCAGGCGTCAAGAGCAGTTATAATTACTAATTAGGTAAATGTTTGAGTACATCACATTATTATTAACATAATATTTATTGTATTTTGATTTTTGTGATTTTTTTAAAAATGTTTTTTTTTTTTCTTTCTGATGTAGCTTTTCTTAAGTTTAAAGTGAAAGTTTTCTAAACTCTTCGAGTGGAAAACAGTTGGAGTGTTTTTATTGTAGGTTGACTTATCCAAGGACCTCCCTCACTGGAACAAGCTTAAGTCAGACGAGAAGCATTTCATCTCCCATGTGTTAGCTTTCTTCGCAGCCAGTGATGGGATTGTCAATGAAAACTTGGTAAGATTTTTATTTTACTGCTGTTCCTATTTTGTACTTGAATGGCGTTGTTAGTGAGATCACTGTAGATCCTGCCTGAGGAAAGAAAGATGTCTGAATAGTAGACTAGATGAAGCTTAGTTTCTATGTGAGTATGTGTGCATGTACAGGCAGGGGCCAGAGAAGGTCACCAGGTGTCTTCCTCCATTGCTCTCTGCCATCTTCCCTGAGAGAAAGTCTCTTCATTAAACCCGGAGCTCACTGTTATTTGGCTAAGTTGTCTGTCCAAGGAGCCTCAGGGATTCCCCTGTCTCTGACACCTCAGCACTGGGGTTACTGGCTCACAGAAACATGCTAGGGAATCCAAACTCAGGTCCTCATGCCCATGTAGCAAGCATTGTTTACCCAGTAAAGGCGTCTCCCCAGACACCAAAGCTTAATTTTTGACTATATTTTTCTTATGACGTTTCAGAGGGAAACATAGTTAACTGGCAACTGACTAGCAATATATTATGGAATTAATCATAAATTATGACAATTAAAACTACACACAGTGTGGAGCTGAGAGATGTCCCTGACTTTACAGCACTTGGTTGGTCATTATAAAGGCCCTGAGTTTTCACCTCAGCAATGTGAAAACAGAATCCAAAATTGCACAGAATTCATAAATTTGATGTTTTCCCTCTGATAACAAACTTAATAGAGAGTGTGCCCTTAATAGCTGTCTACAATTCTGTGTGGACCCTTAGACCAGCTCTTCATATAGAAACATTTTATGATCTGTCAGGAAGAAAAGGTTTTTGTTAAGGAGAGTAGAAATAGGAGCATCCAGAATGAACCAGAAGAACTTTATCGGATCTGTCTACTATTAGGAAAAAACTCTACAAGGCAAAAAGCACTGCTTCTGATACATATTCTAAAATTTATTGTTCAACAGGCAGTGTTTCTACTTGAAAGATAAATTGGTCCTATGGCTTAGGAACATATTCTACGGCGTTGGGTGCGTAGCTCAGTGGGCACCTGCCTGGCAAAAAAAGAAACTGGGGTCAATCTCCTGCACTCTTAACGTTAGCTGGCTAAACAGTAAGATGGTACTTTAAACGATCCATAAAGGCCGAGGATGGCGTGCTTGCCCAGCATGAGTAAATGCTTGGTTTAACCCTCAGAGCCACAAGACAAGAAAAGAAAGAAAAAATTGGTAAAGTTTTTGTGTACTATTTGTTGTATAACAGTCATCCCTCAATATTTCGTATTAAATTTTACTGAATGTGTGAAAGTGTGTGTGAGTGAATGTGTGTGAGTGTGAGTGAGTGTGTGTGTGTGAGTGAGTGTGTGTGTGCACCATGTAGTTGCTGGGAATTGAACTCAGGACCTCTGGAAGAACAGTCAGTACTCTTAACCTCTTGAGCCATCTCTCTAGTCCCCCCAAGTTGATCTTGAAATCAATATCCTCCTGTCCAGTTTCCTGAGTGTTGGCAAAGACAAAAGATTTTTAAGTGAGAATGATGATGTCATGGTGTACTTGTAGAGTGTGAGCAGGGTTCTGTGGGAGCCTGCTCACCAGAGCTTTCTGTTTCCCTCGTCTCTGTAGGTGGAGCGTTTTAGTCAAGAGGTGCAGGTCCCAGAGGCTCGATGTTTCTATGGCTTTCAAATTCTCATCGAGAACGTTCACTCGGAGATGTACAGTTTGCTAATAGATACTTACATCAGAGATCCAAAGAAAAGGTATTACGGGGCAAGGGACGGGTGTTTATGAAGGTTTATCTCTTTGCTTACATTAAAAGTAGAATTTATTCCAAAACTACAATGTTAAAGATTATTCACATATGGAAGTTCATGAGTATAGTTTTCTGTTGCTCAGTAATGTGTTAGATTAAAGACCTGGCATAGAACCAGTTAGTCTTTAGATGATTAATGCCATCTCAAAGCATTGTCTGCATTTATAAATTGAATATTGGCATTTCATTGATTTTTAGATCAGCTTATATCCAACTCATTAATCTGAGTTTTACTTTTATTTCTATATTCATAATTACGAACATGTAAAAGTATAGAAAAACTAGATTTGGTAGTATACTATTAGAGTTACAGTTGTTTCTCTGATCATTGAAACCTAGTCCAATTAATAGAAACAAATGAATAATTTCTCCATGATGTTTTTTGTTCTTACAGGGAGTTTTTGTTCAATGCAATCGAAACAATGCCATACGTTAAGAAAAAGGCCGACTGGGCTCTGCGCTGGATAGCAGATAGAAAGTCTACTTTTGGTATGTGGCATTAGCTTATATGCCTTCACTCCACTGCACTGTGGGTTCGTTTACCTTCATTACAGGCTTTAGAATAAATGTCCTGGTTGTCTTTTGATTTCACAAAAGCTTATGAAATGTATCTTACAATCTTTGCATAAGTATGTGTTCATGTGTGAGTATGTATGTTGCAAGCACGTGTGTGCATATGCCTGTGGAGGTCAGAGGCCAATGTGTCTTCCTGAATTATTTCTCCTCCGTCCCTGCTCGCCACCTCTTTTCCATCCTTGTGTGCATGTGCATGTGTGTGGCGTGTGTGTGTGTGTGTGTGTGTGTGTGTGGTGTATGTGTGTGCTGTGTGTGCATGTGTGTGTGTGTGTGTGCGTGTGTGTGTGTGCGTGTGTGTGTGTGGGGGGGGGAGTGTGTGTGCATGTGTGTATGGTGTATGTGTGTGGTGTGTGTGCATGTATGTGTGCTGTGTGTGCATGTATGTGTGCTGTGTGTGCATGTGTGTGTGCTGTGTGTGCGTGTGTGTGTGCTGTGTGTGCATGTGTGTGGGTGTGTGTGCGTGTGTGTGTGTGCGTGTGTGTGTGTGGGGGGGGGAGTGTGTGTGCATGTGTGTATGGTGTATGTGTGGGGTGTGTGTGCATGTATGTGTGGTGTGTGGGGGTGTGTGTGTGTGTGTGTGTGTTGTGTGTGGTGTGTGTGCATGTGTGTGTGGTGTGTGTGTGGTGTGTGTGCATGTGTGTGCATGTGTATGTGCTGTGTATGTGTGTGTGTGTGTGTGTGAGTGTGGGTGTGTGTGAGTGTGTGTGTGTGAGTGTGAGTGGGGGTGTGGGTGAGTGTGTGTGGGTGGGGGGGGGAGTGTGTGTGCATGTGTGTATGGTGTATGTGTGTGGTGTGTGTGCATGTGTGTGTGCTGTGTGTGCATGTGTGTGTGCATGTGTGTGTGCTGTGTATGCATGTGTGTGTGTGTGTGTACGTGTGTGTGTGTGCGTGTGTGTGTGGGGGGGTGTGTGGGTGGGGGGGGGAGTGTGTGTGCATGTGTGTATGGTGTATGTGTGTGGTGTGTGTGCATGTATGTGTGCTGTGTGTGCATGTGTGTGTGCATGTGTGTGTGCATGTGTGTGCATGTGTGTGTGCTGTGTGTGCATGTGTGTGTGCTGTGTGTGTGGTGTATGTGCATGTGTGTGTGCTGTGTGTGCATGTGTGTGTGCTGTGTGTGCGCGTGTGGTTTGTGTTGTCTAGGTAGTGTGCCTAGCGGGTGTGGCAGGGCATATGAAAGGCGGTGGGGGTATCATATGTGAAGTGCATTTGTATGTATGGTATAGGCATGTGTACAGGTGCTGTGTGGCGTGTTTGTGGGGGGGGGGGGAAGGTTTGTGGGGGGGTTGGTGGTGGTTGTTTGTGTGGTGTGTGTGTATGTGTGTGTGGTGTGTGTGCATGGTGTGTGCATGTGTGTGTGCTGTGTGTGCATGTGTGTGTGCTGTGTGTGCGCATGTGTGTGTGTGTGTGCATGTGTGTGTGCTGTGTGTGCATGTGTATGTGCTGTGTGTGCATATGTGTGGTGTGTGTGTGCGCGCTCGAGCGTGTGTGTGTGTGTGATGTGTGGTGTGTGTGTGTGATGTGTGATGTGTGTGTGCGTGTGTGTGTGTGTGTGTGTGTGTGTGTGTGTGGTGTGTGCATGTGTGTGTGTAGTGTGTGTGCATGTGTGTGTGGTATGTGTGCATGTGTGTGGTGTGTGTGTGCATGTGTGTGTGGTATGTGTGCATATGTGTGGTGTGTGTGCATGTGTGTGTGTGGTGTGTGTGCATGTGTGTGTGGTGTGTGTGTGGTGTGTGTGTGGTGTGTGTGTGTGTGTGTGTGTGTGTGTGTGTGTGTTATATGCATTGTATATGTGTCTGTGCACATACTAATGGCAGGTATACACTCACATGTGTGAGCATGAAAGCCAGAGGTCAGTGTCATGTCTTTGGTACTGCTCTCCATCTTATTTTTGAAAATATTTACTCACTTAAGAATTTTGTGCTGGGCGTTGGTGGCGCACGCCTTTAATCCCAGCACTCGGGAGGCAGAGGCAGGTGGATCTCTGTGAGTTCGAGGCCAGCCTGGTCTCCAGAGTGAGTGCCAGGATAGGCTCCAAAGCTACACAGAAAAACCCTGTCTTGAAAAACCAATAAAAAAAAAAAAAGAATTTTGTGTATGTGTGTATGCCTACATGAGTTTATGTGCACCATATGTGTACAGGTACCAAGAGAGGCTAGGAGAGAGTTGGATTCCCTGGAGCTGGAGTTGCAGGCAATTGTGGGCCACCAGATATGGATGCTGGGAACTGAACCTGGGTCCTCTGCAAGAGCAGTAAGCACCCTTTCACTTGACTCCATTCTCCAGCCCCTTAATGCATTTTTAGTAATGAATGTTTTTATCTATCCCTTGCAGCTTCATACACATATACACATATCTTGATCCTATAGCCCCTTAAATCTCCCTTCCACCCCTGTCAGACCCTCTTCCAACACGCTCCCTTCCCACCCTCATGTCTTCTTATTTCTTTATTTCCACCAAGTCCAGCTGGTGCTGTCCACATGTGTATGTGTGGGGACCCTCCACAGAGCATGGGCAGCCAGGCGCCCAGGAAAAAACAATTGCCCCTCCCCCAGCAGCTATCAACTGCCTGTATCGTCTCGGCTGTTAGCATGAGGCCTCCTGAGCAACTCCTAGTTTTTAATTAGCATTTGTTAATTGTTCATAATAATGGGTTTAATTATGACATACATATAAATAAATAAATAATCTGGCCACATTCACACACACCCCTGTTAGCCTCTCTTGTCCCCACCCCCACTGCTGCTAATCCCCTTCTTTTCCTCAGTTAGCCTCCCTTCTACTTTTTATGTCTGTCTGTGTGTTAGACAGATAGACTGACAGACAGACTCAATGAGTTTCATTAGAATTTTTTTTTTTTTTTTTGGTTTTTTCGAGACAGGGTTTCTCTGTGGCTTTGGAGGCTGTCCTGGAACTCGCTCTTGTAGACCAGGCTGGTCTCAAACTCACAGAGATCCACCTGTCTCTGCCTCCCGAGTGCTGGGATTAAAGGCGTGCGCCACCGCCACCAGGCTCATTAGGATTTTTTTTACAGAAATGTGAGGGAGAGTTTGCTTGTAGGATCATGGACTCATTAGCCCGTAGCTATGCCATTGAAGACACGGCCTCACATTGAACCTGGAGCTCACCCACTGGGCAAATCTCTTCAGGGACCATCTGGTATCCATTTTCCTAGTGCTGGGATTACACGTGTGCCTGACACTCCTAGCTTTTTACATGGTTGCTGGGCATTTAAACTCCCGTCTGTTATTCTTTTGTTTAAAAAGAAGAAAAGAGAAATATTGAGACAGACATATTGACTATAAGTTTATTATAAGGGCCGGTAGAATGGGGAGACTAAGAAGAGGAACAGGGTAATGGCTGACCGCCATGGCTGGTCGCCATAGACAGAGCG